GTGTTGGACGAGCTGCGCTGAAAGTCAGTGGTAGATACACGACTGGTAGAGCAGCTCGTCCAATGCTGGCCTGCTGCGCTATCTTTTTGCGACTATTGCTGCACCAAAGTGAAGTTGCGCAGCGTTACTAGAGCAAATAGAGTTGCTCGCCCCAAAACTTTTCCGTGCACGGAAAGAAGATTGAAGAGTAAAAGACTGTGTTCGCACAGCAAAATGCTGTGTATGCACAGCAAATCAACGTGTCAGAGGAGCACTAGACTGCGCATGAACAATTACACTGGAAAATACTGTGTCACTCACATGAAATCTTTGTGCCGACACAGTATTTTTGAGGTTTGTACAGAATAATTCACAGAGGGCGCACTGAATTTCTTGATGCTCTTAACACTCTTTCAGTCTGCTAGACTGTACACAGTCTTTTATTCTTCAGGCTGAGTACAGAATAGGTTACAAAATTAAGTGGCGAGTGGCTAGGGTGGTGAGTGTCGTGGAATGTACAATAGTGGGGGCAACTTTTGACTTTAAGTTTAACCTTTTTCACCTCAACTTTAAGTTGAGGTTACGATTTTCTTTTTTTTTCTTTTTTTTGTTTAAGAGGTTACGATTTTCGAAATTTGAAAGCACAAATCTAGGCGACACTGCCCCCACTATCGTACACTCCACGCCACTCGCCACTAAATTTTTTAACCTATTCTGCGATCAGGGGTTCACGTGCCCCCTGGCTGCGCGCGCGGGAGTGGGTTGGCGTTCGTGCCACCGTTCTTTTGTTCACAGATTCAACACAATTCAACATTAAGCTCCACTAATATACCTGGTCATGAACGAATATACACAGCGCAACGCCAGTATAAGTGCCGTGCCAATGTTAAACACTACTACTACTACTACTACTACTACTCGTAATATTCGGTACGCAAGTATAAGTGCCAATGCTAAACATTTAAATTGAATTCGTAATATTCGGAATCCTCGCTTATACTCGGTGACAGAAAAATACGAACTATTTTCGCGAATAATTGAAAAATTAACTTCTGTAAATTTATCGGTTATCATAATTAAAAATTATTGAAAATATTTGAATTTTGAAAAATTATAATAAAAATAATCAAATGTTAAATAAAAATATATTTTAATAGAATTTTTTGTATGTAACTAATTTTCACTAATTTTCATTTTGAAATTTTCATTTGAAGATTAGAATTTTGTAGAATTGAATATTATTATCAAAATTTGCAATGTAATTAAAAATATTGAAAACAATTGAATTTTAAAAAAACCTAATAAAAAATTTCTAAGAATTACTTTTTTAACTGTAACTCTTTTTTTAAAAGTTTTATTAAAGTAAAATAATTAAAATCTTAAGAACCAAATAATAATTAAAATCAATTGATTTAAAAAATATTTTATTAAAAAAATTCTTAAAATTAGTTTTTAAAACGACTTTAAAATAATTTTTGAATGTTTTCAATTAACCAAAATTGAAAAATTACCAAATATAATTTAAATCTTGTAGAATTTTTCAAATTAATTGAATTTTTAAAAGAATTTTTGAAAAATATTAAAAAATGATAATCAATCTTTTGAAGAATTTTAATTACAAACAAAGAAATACGTAATCTGTACAAAAATTTTAATAATAAGTCCAAAAAGTATAAATTTTAATTTCCCTTTTTTTACGATAATTGAATTTTAATAATCGAATAGATTTATTTCATTGTATACCCTATACAGAGTTTTACAATTTATGTTCTAACACATTTATTTATGTTCTCGCCTTTAATTAATTTATTTATTTATTTTAATAAATTATAATAAAAAAAATTCAAAAAATCAGTTTTTTTTAAATATTGTCTAATATTTAAAAAGATCAATTCTTTTCAATTAAAATTTTACTAAATTTTAATTATTTAAAAACGCTTTAGGGTCAGTTGGGGTAAATAGAAACAAGGGGTAAATCGGGACAGTAGGGTAGAGTGGGGTAAAAAAGCCATGGTGTAAAAAAGCCATTTGAGTTTTATTTAAAAACTATTAAGCCGATTTATCAGATGTTTAGAATATAAATACTATTAGGTAATACGCAACTTTTGAATCTAGTTTGAATGTTGTACCTAGATTAATATTGTTTTTATTGTAATTTTAATTTTTTGTTGCTTTTTTGAAAACATTTTGGTGAACTTTTCAAACATATTACAGTCTGATTAAGTGAACGAATAATAAAAGTAAATGTTTGTACATAAGGAGAAAAGTATACCGAAAACGTATACAATGTTAATTTTTGGAAATTGAACTGAATTAACAATTTATTTTTGCTTTTTTTAATAACTGGTCTTGGGTGTAAAAAAGCCAGGGCAAAAAATCCATTGAATATTTTGTGAAATTCACTTGTTTTCTATTTAAACTACCGTCAACCGGGGCTATTTTGTGCACGAAATAGCTTTTTTTTACTCAAAGATTTATTAAAATTCAGAATTAAAAGAATAAAGAAAATCAATTTTTGATATATGTTGTGGACATCCTTCTGAAGGTTTCCTATAAATTTGGCAAAGAAAAAAAATTTTTTGTCTTAGTTGTAGTCATTGAAAGTTGTGCACACAATAATTCCCGGGATGGGGCTATTTTGTGCATCGAACTTTGTCTTTCTATAATGTTCCGTAAACATTTTTTTAATCGTTTCTGCTTCATTAAATCTTTTGTGTATATATTTGAGAGTGAATTAAAAAAAGAATGACCTAGTAAAATTTTTTTTTGTAGATATTATACAAAAAAATGTAAAATAAAACACTAAGATTTTGCTAAAATCTGGATTTACTAAAAATTAATAATCTTTCTTTAAATTGTATATTACACAGATATTAAATAACATTTTTTTCTTTTTTAATATATATATATTTTATAATAATATATTAATATAATTATAAATTGATCGTTTAAACACTTATAAATAACTTTAAAACATCATTTCAATAGGAGCTTTTTTAATGGTTTTGAATGATATTTTTAAAAAACTTGAAATAAATATTTTTAAGGTTAAATAGATAACAATTTAATATCTAATATACTTTTCAAGTTATTTTAAGAGAAACGAGAAAATAGTTTTAAAACTAATTTGAAAACCTTATAAATAAAGTTCATTTTTTAAGGTTACGTTGCGCACCGGTTGAGGTTTTAATCGTTTTAATGATTTTAATTAACGTACTTACAGTCTTTTGACAGAAAAGTAAGACAAAAATGTATAAAAATGATACAGAGAATCTTCTTTACTTACTAAATAAAACATTTATGAAAAATATTTGATTTTTTTAAGTGCACAAAATAGCCCCATGGAATCCTGGTTTTTCAGTTTTTTCCACTTTTCTCTTAAAATAATGAATAAAAAGTTAGCGCATTACATATGTGTCATCACAACACAATTGACAACAAATATCTAACTCAGTTTATGAGATACATTAAAACTCTAGAAGATCTGGTATAATTTTTCCGAACTTTCAAAATTTTTGACACAAATTTTCCGTTTTTAGGAATTTTTTTCTCTTAATTGACAAAGAATTAAATAATAACATTTAGTGCTCTCTATTGTCATGTAATTTAACTTTCATTTTACAAAATAGCAGATTAAAATAATTCATTTTAATAATTTTATTCATTAAAAAACTCGCGTGCACAAAATAGCCCCCGGATGCACAAAATAGCCCCAGTTGACGGTAACCTTCTTATTTTACAAAATTTCTCGTGTTTATTTAATAAAATAAATTAAACACGACGAAAAAGTAGTTCAAAGTGCATTTAAAAAATAAACAATGAATAAACGGTTGCAACGAAATATGTTATCTGTGGTAAAACTTAAAGAGAACTTCTAAAAAAGGTACGAAAAATTGGCAGTGCAAATGGAAAACAGGTAAACTTAATATAATTTTCAATTTTGCTTGCTAAAAACTCTTTCATAATTATTAGAATATTTTTCAAATGAGACTATTTGTCATATAAATAAAGGGAAACTATAAAAATACCTAAATTGATAACATGTTTTGCTAAAATCGTAGGGTGGCTTTTTCACCCCACCAGGTGGTACAAAAAAGCCACTTACAGTGCTTTCGTAAAACTCTTATAACTTAATCCTTTCATGAGATAAAAAATATTTCCGTCAAGAATTTTCAAGCTTAATAACTAAACTTTCAATAACAATTGGAAATTTGAGAAAAAAATTTTAAATACAGATTTTACAGCATCAAAAGTAAAAATGTGGCTTTTTTTACCCCACTCTACCCTAATTTTCAAGTCTTGATTTGGTTATTTTTTGGACTATGAAAATCTAAATAAGTTTTATTTTCTACCAAAAAAATTGGCAATTTTGTCGTAATTCTTGGAAGAAAAGTCGAAAAAGTCTCATTATTTAAAAATCGAAAAATGTCGCCTTTCTGAAAATAGTAGAAAAAGTTGCCTTTTTGAAAATAGTCGTAAAAAATCCAAAAAATCGATCCGAGATGTGAAAAAGCAAATGAAAAAAAAATTTGTAATAGGTACAATGCATATACAATAAAAGAGTGAGAGTAAAAAAATTGTAATACAGGGAATCCTATTAAAATGGAAAAATTATAAAACACCAAGAGATAATTAAAATTTCTTCGTTTCTATAAAAATACATCGTCCGAGTGACGACGAGTATAGATGAAATCGCAATCAGACATTAAAAGCCAATAGCGCTTTTTCTTTGCGTTTACATGATTAATACGCCTTCAAACACTGCAAATCATTTCATTAAATCACTCCAAAGAAAAAAAAAGAAAATAAATAAAATAAAATAAAAAAAGTTGAAAAAGAAAATAGCGGCAATCGCATAATGATAATACAATCATGATAAACAGGTAACAAAGCTGTCGCCAGTGTCACAAAAAATGAATAATGATTATAATGTGAGTGTATTGAGTAAAAAAAAGTTTCAGGGAGAAAGGGTAGCACATGAAACGAACGGCACATCTTCCAAAAATATAATCATACAATACCCTGTCTTTGTACGTGTCTTCACATTCTTTCTGAAAACAAATTTTAATCATTGAAAATATTATCGGCACAATGCGCATTTATTCTTTTGCGCAATGCTAAACCAACTTCAACCCCTTTTAAAACTTATTTTTCTTTATTTTTACTGCCGTCAATATAACAAAGGGGGGAATTTTTTTTAAAGAAAGAAAATCCAGAATCATAGAAAAAAATTAAAAAATTTTGTTTAATTGTCTCTCGATCTTCGAATACTTGTTCTAAAGTATATACGAGTTGCAAGTGTCAATATCATGCCTTTAATTATTTTTTATCAGAAAAAAAAATACTTTTTCTTTCTGAAATATTGTGTTAGTTTTTTAATACATCAATGAAAGTATCTACTAAAAATCATGCACAAAACTAATCATTTTTCAAATGCTTTTTTTAAAAACAAAACAAAAAAAAATCTTGATATCTGACAGTCTTATCTTAATGCTAAAGAATATTTTTCTTGAGGAGTAAGCGAACAATATATGATAAATCCATTTTTTTCTTACGTATTATTTTCAATTTAATTTTTTATTGTTTTCATAAAAGTTCTGTTTAGTTTTTTTTTGTTTTTATAAAAATTCCTTTTGATTTTTCTTTCGTAAAAATTCTTTTTGTGAATATATATATTTTGTTCGCTTACTCGATAATTTTTTTTTTCGTAAATTATTTCACACTGGACACATGACGTCTATAGAACAATTCTAAAATGTGTACAATACAATTTTTGACCCTACACCAAGTTATTAGTCACACATTGCCCACCACCCACGAAATAATTTTTAACCACATTGTAATAATATCGTTTTAGTACAATGTTGTCTAAATTAATAAAAATGATTAAAACAAGAAAATTTTAAATAGAAAAGTAAACATTAAGAATTTCAAATTAATGAGAAGCCAAATTAAAAGAAAACAGGAGCGAATTATAAAGAATTAAAAGTTAATACATTTTCGCTAATAAAAAAATTTCTAAAAATTTAATATTTGACTGTTTTGAAAATTGTATTTTCTACAAAAAAATAAGAGAAGGAAAAACTGTTCAATTTCTTTCTTAATTATTAATTTATATTTTTCCTGTAAACAATTTATTAAGGGCATCCGGGAAAAATTGACCCCAAAAAGTGTTTTCCCGCGTGTCGTCTCACTCCTAAATAATTAGAGATATTTAGTTCCGATTTATCATGATAATTAGGGGAACTCATGATGATAAAGAATATCCTCGAAATTTGCAAGTAATATTTGAAATAAATATTGAAAAGCGAAATTACACTTGAACTAAGGAAATGTATGAACCTCAAATTACTCCACTTTCAATCGTTAATAAAATAATTTCCTTGCAAAAACGGAGAGGACCGCTCCTCGCAGAGTCTCCCTCTATCACCCCTCCAAATATGAACCCGAAATATTTTATCCTCTCAAAATGAGACGTCTATACCAAACCGTTCATAACCCCTATTTTCCGTATATTTAAACAATTTTTTTCAATAATTATTTATCAAAATTTTTCTAAATTCCGAGAGCACCGCTGATCCCAGAGTATTTCTCTATATTTACCAAAAAATCCCGACACAAAACATTCTTTTCTATTTAAATGAGACGTCTATCACGAAACCATTATTTTTTCCAGGATACCCTTAAGATACGATTATGAATATAAAATATAAAATATTGATGTTATTTTCGATAAATATTTTCTATAAAAAATTCCATAAAAAAATTCTATAAAAACAGAATATGTATTAAATAATATTTAATAACTAATATAACTAATATTTAATACAATAATATTATTATTGTATAAAATATATAGTTGACTTTAAAATTTCTCTCTAGAAAAAATGTTTTATGTTTAAATTTGTACTCACCTCTCTTATGGTGAGGGTGTGAGACATCATTTGTATGTTGACTTGCGACTGACTCGTGGGTAAATTGTCAGTAGATCGCGACCTCGCCAGAGATCTCGAGCCAATTAGTACATTTCGACTTTTCAAAGCCATTTCTGTTCGCAGAAATACTCTTGATATGTATGCCGAACTTAGTCCTCGAATTCCAAATGCAGTACGAAGAAATTTCGCTGGAGTCACCTTGAAATTTTAAATTAACTTAATTAATTTTTCAATTTATTCTATTTTAAGTACGGAAAAAAATTCTTTTGCTTTCTCATAGAGAAAGAAGTGTATTTTTACAATTATTTACAACCAATTTTTGTCTTCTAATTAGTTCTAATTAATTCTTTTGAGAAATTTTGAAAATGATTGAATTCCCACGAAGAATTTTTATTGTAAGTATGAAAATAATTAATTTCTTGCAAATTTTTTTCGACGAATTTAATTCAAATTGTATTGAAGAAAATAATCCAATTCTTATATATAGAATTTTATCAAAATTGTATTAAAAATAATTGAATCTCTTTGCAAAGAATTCCCTGACAACACTGATTCTTAATTAAGTGAAAAATTATTGAAAATTATATTGAAAAAATATTTCATTCAAGAGATTTTTTAAGAAGAAGAAGAGAATTTTTCGAACAAGATAAATAATAATCTTACCGGCATTTGTCTACAAAATTTTGAAAGAGCCGCATCTACGCCGTTCTTTGTTATTTCAGTCATCCATTCGGAGTTTTGTGTGTTGGAGTGCTTATAAAATAATAATATTATCGCCATAGCTACCCTATAGAAGACCTGAAAGAATAAAACAATCATTTTAATTTTTAGTTAATTTAAATCCTACCAATTTAACCAAATTTCGAGAAGAAAAACTATGTGACGCTCCGTGAAAAAAAGTAACTTATTTTTCCGTGTTTAAAGTTTGGAGTGAAAATAAAAAATGTTAATTTCTTATTACGGACTATTGTCCGTAATTATGACTGTTTTTATTTTAGTATTTTTATACAATTTTTATAATATTACTATTTTTCTTACTAATAATATAATATAATATAATATAATATAATATAATATAATATAATATAATATAATATAATATAATATTAAATATTCATTCAAAAGTTTTGTTTCTGATTTCAGGAAATTAAAATCGATTCTTTAGTATCTAAATAAAAAATCTATCAGAAATGTAGTCTAAAATTTTCTAGAACCAGAGTACCTTTTATCGAGAAGCGTCACATGTAAAAATAAAAAATGAAATGAGAATAAAAATAAAAATAAACACAAAAATCTTACTTTAATGCCTTCATGGAGAAAACAGTCCATAACTCTGACTAGATGTTGAAAAGGGAGCAACTGCAAAATCCACCAGATCCAATCCATGTAGATTCTCTCTGCTCTTGATCCTGAGCAATTTCTCGTTAAGTGTGCCGCTGCCGATTTCTGAAAATAAATAAAATTAATATTCAAATAAATAAAATAATAAAATTAAATTAAAAAAAAATAAATTGGTTATAAAAGACGTAAAGCAAAATTTGTAGCATCAAGAAATAAATTCTATTCTATTCTAATTAATAAAAGCAAAAGTGACAAAAATAAGTGAATTACAAATAGGTTATGAAAAAACAAAATTAATTATTGACAAGTATTCTATGATTAATCGAAATACAGTGAGTTCTCGCGAGTCCTTCAATTCTCGAAAATTTTCAAGATCATAAAACTCACGAGTCGTTCAACGCATAAACCACGCCTCCAAGGCGATTTCAGGGATGTGTGAAACATATTTATCGCCCCGAAAGACACAATATTCAATGGCTTTGGTCCGTTTAAATTACGCAGCACTGAGCACCAGCGCGCGCATACCAGAAATTGAACGACTCGTGAATCGGGCACTGATCAGCTGTTGAACGACTGACGAGTTTGAACGACTCGTGAGTTGAACGACTCGCGAGAACTCACTGTATAGTAATTAAAATATGAAGATAATGACATTATTATAAATGAAAAAGGAATCCTTACCACGTGCTTTTTAGTAATCTGCTCAACCGTTTTCCAAGTGACTTCGTACAATAATTTTGTTTGTGTGATAAACATTTTTTCCTTCGCTGCTACTAAACTGGCCATGCAGTGATAACATTGCTCCTCTGTGAATGAATAGTCATTTAGAACAATATTTTACATCAAAAATTGTTTTGAAAATAAAGAAATTGACAATTTCGTCTTATTTACAATACAATATATTTTATTATTATTAAATTCGTTTATACTTTGATGGTTCTTAAATAAAAATATATTATTCCAGAGGGGAATTCTTATTGATTTTGTTTTTAAATTTACCTGGCATAAAGTGTAAAAGAAGTGCAGTAATGGGGTACAAAGACGGACTGTAAGTAATATCAGGACACGCATATCCGAGAACAGATACAATCCTGTCTGCCACACTCCTGCCCTTCCTAGTTAAGTTATAGGAAAGACAATGCGTGCTATCGACAAATGGCGGTAACATAATCGACATTTCCGGCAGCTCTGAAAAACAAAAACAATTAAATTATTATCTTCAATTCAAAATTTGAGAAACTTTCCTTTTTACAAAAATCAAGCCTCGGATTGTCTTTCAGATGCAAAAAATACGTTTTAGTCAATTAAGAGGTACAAAAAAAAATTTTTAAATTTATTTTTCTATTTCTCTGACGTTTCATTGATTTATAAATGAAATTATTCAACACGTAAACAATTTACAATTAAAATTTTTTAAACTTTATTACTAATATTTTTTCACAGAAATTATAATTTTTTTATTTTCCATTTTTTAATTTGAATTGAAATTGAATTACATTTTTTAAAATTTAAGTATTTCTAAAAATTCCATTTGCAATTCTTACAAAATTCAATTATTTTCTAGATTTTTTAACTAAATTCTTCTCTAAATCAATTATCTATACTAATTTTTAATAAATTTTCAAAATTAATTAATTGATTAAAAAACTATACATTATTTTCAAAAAACTCAAAGAAATTCCTCAAAATAATTTATATTTCTACTAATAATTTTTATAAAATTTAATAGTAAAAGTATTGATTACAATTATTGACAAAATTGATTATATTAAAAAAATTAAAGAAATTTTTTGAAAGAATTCAATTATTGTTAAAACCTTGAATAGAGTCTATTCTTTAAAAGAATTAAATTATATTTTCAATATTTTAATAAAATACCTTGAATGAATTTAATTATTTTAAAAAATTGTAATACAATTCTGAGAAGAATTTAATTATTTTCTAAATATTTTAATAAAATTCAAAAAGGTGAAAAGGGGAATTTTTTTCTTCAAAAAGGGCACAAAAAAGGGGACAAAAATTTATTTGTTTATAAAAATTGCATATATAATTCAAATTTTTTATCATATATAGCTTCTATAAATTTTTTAAAAATAATTCGATTTTAATTAGAGTTGACAAAAAATTTAATTTTGTTTTTCCCTGACTTTTCCCTGATTTCTAGCCAAATTTTCACTTTTTCCCTGATCTTAAAGAATATTCTGATCCACTCTAAAAATAATTAGATACTCAAAAAAAATGTTTTATTACATTTATTTACGAAGTTCTATAATTGTGAAATTATTCGAAAACAGTAATAACTACTTTTTTAAAAAAATATTTAATCATTATTATTTTTCCATAGGAATTAAGATTTTTAAAACATGAAGAAAGTGATCACTTTCTTTTTGTTTTATAATAATGAAAGATGACCGAGTGGTATAAGGTCATTATTTTGTACTACAAGAAATATTTTTACTGTATAACTTCTTCAAAATTATTTCCATCATTTCAATACAATTATTATTTTCTAGAATTTTTAACTAAAATTTTTCTTTACATTAATTATTTATAATCATTTTTTAAAAAATTCGGACAGTTTTCAAAAATCCCAAAATTTCGACTATTTGGAAATTCTTCAATTAAATATATATTAGAAAATAAAAACTTGGAATAATTTCAATTAAACTTTTTGAATAAAATTAATTCTACATAATTGTTAGTTAAAAATATGAACAATTCAGATTTTCCACAATTTCAATTTGAAACATTTCCAAAATTCAATTATTTCTAAGAATGCATGTTGTAATGCTTAATATGTGGACGTCCACATGAAAAGGGCCCATTTTGGCACTACTGGAGTTATCTATATGGGCGTAATCCTGTCAAAATTTGGAGAATTTTGAGTGGTCTTAGAACTTTTTTGGTTGAAAATTCGCTGAGTTACGGAATTTCAAAGTTTAGAACGCCAAAAACCTCATTTCGAGAAAAACGGAATTAAAGATTGCGATACCAACTAATTGTTGTATCTCTGGTTCTTCTTGGAAGTTATTCAGATAAGAATTGTTTCCAGTTCAGGGCACCTTGAAGATAAAAAGCCAACAGGTTTTAAATTTTTAGAACCACCCCCTCCCCTTAATTAATTAATTAATTAATTTAAAAACCGACAATATGGGCCCTTTTCTAAAAAGGACAGTTTTTCTATTAAAAAACCATTTTTTTTACAAGATAAATGATTAGGTACAATTTTATTGTGTCATTTGAAGAAAAAGAATAGATATTAAACTTATTTAAAAATTTTTGACAGTTAAAAATTTTCATTTCGATAATTACGAAAAAAAGACTCTAACATCAATATCTCTGGTTCTTCTGGGAAGTTATTTAGATAAGAATTGTTTACAATCCAGGACATCTTAAAGATGAAAAATCAAGAGGTTTTAAATTTTTCTATACCTCCATTTTTAAAATACGGATTACTTTTGCAAATGACCGTCAAAATGGGCCCTTTTCATTTTTCTAAAGAACCAATGAAATCAAACAGTTAAATTATCGATAAATTAATGAAAACCGCATGATTCGACTTGTCAAAACATGTAGATTGATAATAAAAAATAAAAAAAAAATTAAGAATTTGCTCAAAAATTACTAAATTGCGATTATCTCGAAAACAAGAACCGACAATATGGGCCCTTTTCATGTGGACGTCCACATATATTGAATTATATAAAATTTTAACTGAAATTTTGCGATGAGTTTTTTTTATATTTATGCAAATAATTGAATTATTGACAAGAAATTTATAAAAAATTTGTAAATAATAGAATTCCTGTGAAATTATTTTATTATTTATGAAAATAATTAAACGTTTGCGTATAGAATTTTAATAAAAGTTTTTTGAAATAATTGAATTCTTTTAGAAAATTTTATTAAAATAGATATTGAAAATCATTGAATTTAGGAAAATTTTTGCAAATAATTGAAATTTTGCCAAGAATTTTATTAAAATTTTTGAATATAATTGAATTTTGAAGAAAAATTTTTATTATTTATAAAGAGAATTGAAATTCTCATTAAAATTTCAATTCTCTTTATAAATAATAAAAATTTTTCTTCAAAATTCAAATTTTTTTTTAGTGTTTTTGACTTAAATTCCTCGATAAATTCATTATTTTTAATAACTTAAATTTTTAAAATTTTTGCAAAAATTAAAGTTTTTTAGAATTTCTAATGAAATTCATTCAAAATTGAAATTTTATAAAGTTTGAAATTAAAATCTTTTGAAATTCATCTATTTACGAATATAATTGTAAACGCAACGGCAACTCTTTTAAAATTTAATTAATTTTGTAATATTCAAGTAAAATTATTCATTAACTAATTTCTAAGTATTAATTTTATGATAGTTGTTCAAGAATTAAGTTATTTAAAAAGAAATTATTGTCACACCCAGAGAAAAAAGTTATTTATTTTAACTAAAAGTGTATATTTAAGAAAAATTTATTTGTTGCAAATAAATATTTTATTTAAAATAAATAAACTAATATTTATTTCAAATAAATGCACTAATTAATCTAAAATAAAGAAATATATTTGCAATTTATGAAATAGTATATTTGTAGCAAATGAAAAATATATTTGATTCAAATAAATGTTTGTTTGACTTATAAGTAGACGCCTGCGCATATTGCATTGCTATAGTAAAACAATAAGATGTTTTGCTTTTAACAGTTTAACGCGTACAATTATAAGAGGTTTATTCATCATGAATAGTTAACAAATTTAATTGATTTAAGTACAGAATTTTTCTTTTTAAGTGAAAATTTTAATTAGTACAAAGTAACAGATTTGTATGTGATTTCATTTACATTTTAGTGTCTTATTTGAGATTTTGTGAGAAAAATGTGACAGTGGACTTTTACATATGAAGTGAAAAAGTAAAGTAAAATGACTAACAATAAAAAAACCTGACTTTATTTAACAAATATTCTTATAAAAATAAACATTTATTTTAATGAATATTAAAAGTTCCATTAGTGATTGTGATTGTTAAATTTATTTGAAGGTTATAAGTGAATTTTAATATTTTAGAATGCTTACAGGATTTATTAAAATGAAAAGTGTTTTTTATTTGCTCTAAACATAAAATATATTTAAAGAAAATATAAAATTTTTGTCATTTAAATAAAAATGGATATTTAAACGAAATATATTAATTCAAATAAAAAATATTATTTGAGCTAAATAAAAGTTTAGTTGGTTCTGTGACAAATATCCTTTTTTATTTGTTTGAAATAAATTTTATTTAATTCAAATAAATCATTTCTCTAGGTGCAGAAATGGAAAAAATCGAAGGCTTTGTATTAGAATTTTTGTTTTTCTAGAAAAAACTATTAATAATATTTTAATTATTTGAATGTTAATTAATTATTTTTCATTATTTTTTATTAGGTAGAAAAAGGTGAAAAAGGGACAAATCACCAAAAACGGTAAAAAAATGACAAATCGTCAAAAAAGGTGAAAAAGGTGATAAAATTGAAATAAGGGGACAAAAGGGGAAAAGGGGACCAACTGTGATGCCTGTAATAAATTTGGCTATTTTTAGAGGAAATTTCACTTGTAAGTTCAAAAAGGGACGAAAAAGGGACAAAAAAGGGAGAATGGGGAGAATATGCATGATTTTTTGTATTTATAGTCAATTTTTTGAAACTGACCTGTCGTTCCTAAAACTTGGCTAACCATATCCCAGTAAAATCCATCCATCATACTTTTTCCAAGTGCATGCTGATTGCAAAGAGCAGGCCATAATTGTGCTCTAATTCCGTTGTTCAGTGGCCAAGCATTCTCCCTAAGGATAAGCTTCACTTCTCGCTTTCTGCCCGCTTGAAGTTGAGTGTTAACTTCGTTAAATGTTTTGAGCGTTTGTTTCTTGCTGGTCGGCGATTCTGGCTGGATTATAATATTCGTTGTATCCACGTGGGGAGGGAATACCTCATCGATATCCACGTTTGTTTCCTCCTCAAGTACAGATAACATATTCGATAAATTGTCAGTAGGAGAAGAAGACTGTGTGACCAACATGGCAAAACCACTATGGCACTAAATTACCCATTTTTTCTTCTTTCATTCGCATCTCTTTCTCTTTTAGTCCCTCATGTCACTTCCTTTGATGATTCGTTTTTCATCTACAACCAAAAAAAGAAAACAATTTTATTAATCAAGTTTCATTTATTCTAATTGTGAAAAAATTGTGTAAAATTGTGTAAAATTCTATAAAGTTGTACAAGATTGTATAGAATCAGGGTTGCCACAAAAATTTTATTTTATTTTTCCCTGATTTACAGAAAAAATTTTCACTTTTTCCCTGACTCTAAAGAATATTCTGATTCACTCTAAAAATTATAAGATACTCAAAAAAATGTTCTATAGCATTTATTTACAAATTTCATTAATTGTAAAAATATTCGAAAACATCACTAACTTCTTTTTTAAATAAATATTTAATCATTGGTATTTTTCAATAGAAAATAAGGTTTTCAAAAATCTTTTATTCAAACCTTTTTGAAATTCAATTTTATATTATAAAAATTTTGTTACTGTGACTTCTTCAAAATTATTTTCAACATTTCAATTCAATTATTATTTTCTACAATTTTTAAATAAAATTCTTCTTTAAATCAATTATTTTTAATAATTTTTGAAAAAGTTCTTTTGAGAATTTTAAAATTCATTGGTTTACAATTCAATTTTACGAAATTTCGATTAATCGAAAATTCTTCAATTAAATATACATTAGAAAATAATAACTTGCAAAAATTTTAAAACATTTCGATTAAGCTTTTAAAAAAAAATTAGTTCTATGGTATGGAAATTACAATTAAAAGTATGAAAATTTCATATTTTCAAAGATTTTAGTTTAAAATCTATACGAAATTCATTTATTTCTAAAAAATTGCAATTATTAGTAACTTCTCCAAAATTCAATTATTATCTAAAACTTTAATTGAAATTAATTTATAAATAAATTTTTATTAGAAAATTCTACGAGAATTCAATCAATTATTTAAATACAAACATAGATAGGTAATATATTGAATAATTGAATATTTCTTAAAATTGGATTCTTATACATAATGTTATCAACAAATATTTAAATAATTTATTGAATTCTTTCGGCGATTTTCAATAACATTTTTCGAGTAATTCGATTAAAAATTTTAAAATAATTGAAATTCTGTAATGATTTTTATTATTTATGAAATTAATTGAATCATTGCGAAGAATTTTATAAAAAGTTTTAGACAATAGAATGTTTTTGAAAAATTGTATGAAAATTATATTTTTAATAATTTATTGAATTCCTGTGAAATTTTCAATATTTTAGAAAATAATTGACTATTCATGTAGAATTTTGATCAAAATTGTTTTTAAATAATTGAATTCTTTTGGAAAATTTTATTAAAATAATACATATATACAAATTATTGAATTAAGAACAATTTTTGAAAATAATTGGTATTTTTCAATGAATTTTATTAAAATTTTTGAAAATTTGAGGGCCCAGACTTAAATATAAATAAATAAATGGATTTTATTACTTTTGAAAATAATTGAATTCTTGTGACGAATATTGTTATTTATGAAAATATTTAACTATTCCTTTAAATGATTTTATTATTTAGGTATATAAAAATAATTAAATCCCTGAAAGAAATTTTAAAATTAATGAAAATAATTGAATTACTGCGACGAATTTAATTCCAAATTTTAAAATATTTGATTTTTCCAAAAAAAACTTATAATAATGATTTTATCATAAAAATTTGAGAATCATTAAATTCCTTCGTAAAATTGTATTATTAATAAAAATAATTGAATTCTAGTGATGAATTTTATTATAATTTTCAAAATTAATTGAATTCTTTCGATAAATTGAAAATAATTCAATTTCTGTGAAGAATTTAATAATTAAAAAAATAATTTATTTCTTTCTAGAATATTCAAAAATAATTAAATTCCTGTGAAGAATGTAATTATTTATCAAAATAATTAAATTCCAGCGAAGAATAATTATATTATTTACGATAATAATTGAATTCTGGTAAAGAATTTTAGGGGTCATTCACAGTAAAAAGTAAATCTTAATTTAAGAGCTGCCTTAAATTCAACACTGTCTGCTATAATGTTAAAGGATACGAAAAACATGCATAAATTCAACATTGACTGTCTTAAAAATGTTGCATCTTAATTTAAGGCAGCTTTCGTGCCTTAAAATAAGATTTTCTTTTTACTGTGTTCATATACCACGTGGACAATTTTTTGTCAATTTTTACCCCCCCCCCCTCCCCCTAACTTTCCACATAGACATTTTTTGATGAGAAATTAATATTTTTGGTAGAATATGGAAACTTATAACTGGGTGATTCTCCGCGTAGCGCAGAACTTGGTTTTTTTCATGTTGTAATGGAAAAATAATAAATAATTTTCATATATTTTTACAATTCCAACGTGAAAAGGTTATCTATATGTTTAGAAACAAAAACCAATAATTACTTTTGTATCTAAGATTATAATTTTTCATAAATAAGCGGTTTTAAGGCTAAAAACGTCAAAATTTTACCTGTCCCCACAGGAAGTTTAGAAAAAAAAGTTAATAATTTTAGTAATATGCAATAATAAATACAATTATTATTGCCATTTTAGTATCGTCTACTTTAGTACAGTTGAATAAAAAAAATTAAAAAGAAATTCATTTCATATATGTTTTTTTTAGTTTATGCTTGACAGCAAATTTGGATGCTATTCATTATTTTATTAACAAACAGTAAATTATTTAAATGAAAATCAAATGTTAACTTAAAATTACTTTTGTAAACACAAAAAATAACTTCCTTAAGTTAATTCAGGAAAAAGAATCAATGTTCTAATTGATTTATTCATTTTTCACTCATTTTAAGTTGGAAATTTGATAAGGGAATCACAAAATAATCTCCACCGACCTCCACCGACCCTTAAATATTTTACCACAAATTAAACAATTATTTATAAAAAAGGTTAAATAAAGCTTAGTTATATTGTTTTGGTCAATACGAATGAGATCCACTTTAAACCGATTGAAAATTAATGATACTTTTTTCAAAAAATTAAAATATCCAAAGTCGGTTGAAAAAGTTCCCACCGGCCTCAGTTTCCACCGACCTCAGAATTTCCACCGACCTTCGTATTACGAAGAACCTAGTGCAAATGTATAATAAGGAATAAAAAAAACCTATAGCTCAGGAAAGTTTACCATAAATTACTTAAATAAATTTCCATAAATTACCGAAATAATAATTTTCAATTGTGATTTCTACTTTGCATATTTTTAAAAATTACCGACAAAATTTCTTTAAATTACCTTACAAATTGCCATAAATTACCTTATAAATTTTCATAAATTACCGCGAAAATTTCCATAAATTTCCATAAATTACCAAAATAATAATTTAAATTTTACATATTTTTATAAATTATCGCAAAAATTTCCAAATATTATCATAAATTACCATAAATTTCTATAAATTTCCATAAATTACCAAAATAATGGTAATTTTTAAATGAGATTTACGCTATAATATTGTTTAAATTACCGCAAAATTTTGTTTGACAGAATGTGTCCAAACAGTGAATTAGTTAATTACTACACTTGTTTACAACAAAAATTATAAATAATTTTTCCGGCCCGCTATGGATTTTTCTTTTTAAAGCCTTTATCTTCAAAAAAATATATTGATAATAACCATAACGATAAAAAAAAATTTTTTTAATTTCATAAACCAAATCGTGCGCTACGCGGAGAATCACCCAACTATAAAGAAGGTTTCTTCTTTTATAATGGTAAATAAATTGATATTTAATAAAAAAAGATGTTTACGATATTTCCAAATACATATCTTATTTTTATACTACAGGCCTCGAATTGACTTTACGGCACACAAAAAGTATCTTTAGTCGAATAAAAATAAAGAGTCGAAAATGTCGTTTATTTAATTCTGTGTTGTTACAAAAATTTTATTTTGTATTTCCCTGATCTTTCAATGATTTCCTAATTCAATTATTTAGAACGTGAATAATTTTGTTAAATAATTTAAATAATTCTTATTTGTTCTTCCATTTAAAAAATTTCAATTTAGAATTTTCTAAAAAATTTAATAATTTTTAAAAATTACAACATAATCCTTCTAAAATTCAAATATTTTCTACAATTTTTAATTAAACTTCATCTCTAAATCTATTTTTCAAATAATTTTCCTAAAGTTCTTCGAGAATTTAATTATTCAAATACAAAAATTAAATTTTTTATAATAATTGCAACTGTAACTGTCCTTTTTTAAAAGTTATTCAGGTAGGTATAATATTTTCGAAAAATTATAATAAAAAAATTCTTAAAATATTAATTTTTTTTAAATATTTTAAAATAATTTTTGAAAGATAATAGTTTTTTTATTCTTATTACAATATAAAAAAATTTCAAAACAATTAAAATTTGGTAAAATCTTTTACAAATGATTGAATTTTTAAAAAATTGAAAAATATAAAAGAAAATAATAAATTTTTTTAAAAATTTAAATTAAAAATTTAAACATGATTGTGTGCTCTAAAATGTTAAAAATGATTCTCAATAATTTTAATGTTATTATTTATTGTATGTTCACGTGGACATTTGCATTGATCCCCCCCCCCATAGTGGACAATCGTGGATGTTTGCCCCCCCCCGAAAACTGTCCACGTGGTATACGAACGACCCCTTATTAAAAATTTAAAAAAATAATTGATTTCCTTTCAAAATATTGAAAATTATTTAATTTCTGCAAACAATTTAATTAAAATATTTATATTCTTTCGAGAATGTTGAAAATAATTGAATTCTTGAGAAGAATTTTATTCAAAAATTTTAATTTTTGTCAAAATTGTTATTAAATAATTGAATTCTGTTGAGAAATTTTATTAAAATAATAGATATAAAAATTATTGAATTAAAAATTTTTTTGAAAATATTTGAATTTGATTACTTTTGAAAATAATTGGATTCTTGTGATGAATTTTACTATTTATGAAAATAATTAATTCCTGAAAGGAATTTTAAAATTAATGAAAAAAATTGAATTAATGCGAAGAATTTAATGCGAAATTTTAAAATATTTTATTTTTCCAAAATAAAATTATGCAAAGAATTTTATTATAAAAATAATCATTAAATTCCTTAGTAAAATTTTATTATTTATAAAAATAATTGAATTCTGGAGATGAATTTTATTATAATTTTCAAAAGTAATTGAATTCTGTCGAAGAATTTTGCTATTCATTTATAAAGATAATTGAAATGTTAAAGAAAATTTAAAAAAAATTTTTGAAAACAATTGTGTTGATGGAAAGAATTTTTAGAATTCGTGGTAATTTCATAGTTTGTGAGGCAAACAAAAAGACGCAAAAATTCAGAATTTTCTTATATTTTCTAAAAATTTAATTTTTTCCAGTACATACTTTGAAGAAAAATACCTGACTTTTCCCTGGTTTGTGTCAACCTGAAAATGTTTTAATTATGAAATTCCAATTTTTAATTCTTTGGAGAATAATTTTTGGGCTAAGGAACGATTTTTAGAAAGACGAGTTTGAACAAAAAAATGTTTGACATCTGCTTAAAATAATCGCAAGTCTGTTGCAAGTTGTAAACAATCTAAGAGACACTGGCCTCTCAGCGTGCTTTCTCGGAGAAAAAAAGTGGATCTTATAACATTGGCTATGATAAAAATAAACGTTTAATGAAGATAGTAATATGCCGAGGCGATTGTACACATTTAATAGCATCGTTTAATCTCTTACTAAATCGAGAAACGGATCTATTGTTTATTCATAACCATACAGCTTCATTAATGCCAATTAAATCCTCCTTCTTTCTAAAAAAAAATAATTTTTTATTAACACTTTCAAAAATTATCCACTCCTTATCAAAAATTGTTCCTAAATCGCCAAAAAAAGGAAACTCTCATTCTTTTATTGTTTCTGAAAAGAAAATTATTTTCTTTCCCTCTTGATGAAGCAAAAAAAATTAAATTATTTTCCAGTGGAGAAAAAATACAGTCAAGTGGTATTAAAAATTTTCCTAAAGATTAACCATTATTATTATTATTATTATTAGAATCTGAAAAAATGCACTCATTGCATGTGATATATACACTATATAATGATAGGTATGTGCTTGTTGTACAAGATAAATATTATCGGCCAGAAGAACTAGTTAAACCACTCGATGGTGTAAATATATCTCTGAAGAAGCTAATGCAGAAGTGAGAGACTGTAAACTATGGAAAATTAAATCTCCAAATATATACCAAATTTAAGGACTCACCCAATTTGCAAAAATAAACATTAAAAGAATTACAAAAAAAAAATAAACTTTCTTTTTATATACCGAAAATCAAGAAATAGAAACAAATTTTTTCCACACTTCTATTTGAGAAATAGATTTTTTTGATTAAATAGATTGTATAGAGAAAGAAATTTTATTTACTACTAAAGTCGAGCTTTTAGTCTTTAGTTGATACTGAACATGGCACTATTCCAAATCACATGATAGTTGTATTGCATGTATACAGTGCATTACAGAATATTTTTCACATTATGCTACACAATTTTATATTAATCTCGAAATTTCACAATTCTAAAAAAAAATGTATACATAATATTTACAACAAAGAAATTCAATTATTTTTACATTCTAAATATTTAATTCAAATTCTAAATGCAAAGCATTAATTTTGTAAAGTGAGTAATAATAATAATAATAATAATCTTTATTAGTAATCGTTGTATTCCAAAAATTTATTAGCAGTTTGAAGTTAGTTCTTAACTTTTTTTAAAATTTTTCTGTTTAAATATTTTCAATTTTAAAATTAATGTATTGAAAATCATTTAATTCTTGCAAAGAATTTTATCAAAAAATTTGAAAATAATTGAATTTTTTCGTAGAATTTTATTATTTATAAAAATAATTGAATTCTGTTGACGAATTTTATTACAATTTTCAAAAATAATTTAATTCTTTCAAGAATATTGAACATAATGAAATTCCTATGAAGAATTTAATTATTTATAAAAATAATTGAATTCTAGCAAAGAATTTTTTTTATTTACAATAATAATTGAATTCTGGTGAAGACTTTTATTGAAATTTTAAAAAATAATTGATTTCTTTTCAGAATATTGAAAATTGTTGAATTTCTGTAAAGAATTTAATTAAAACTTCCAAAAAATATTTATATTCTTTCGAGAATATTGAAAATAATTGGATTCTTGCAAACAATTTTATTAAAAAAGTTGACAATCATTGAATTCCTTCGAATAAATTTATTATTTATGAAAATAATTGAATTCTTGCAAAGAATTTTATTGCAAATAAATTTTAATTAAATATTATAATTAAATTAAATTTATTATAATTAATAATAATAATAATAATTAATTATAATTAAATATAATATAATATAATATAATATAATATAATATAATATAATATAATATAATATAATATAATATAATATAATATAATATAATATAATATAATAATTAAGAAAATAATTGAATTTGTTCGTGAAATTATAATTTAATATTTGCAAAGATTTTACTATTTATAAAGATAATTGAATTGTTTTGAAGGATTTATTAAAATTTTAGAAGATAATTGAATTTTTCAGAAGAATGTTATTATTTATATGAAAATAATTGAATTTTTGCGAAGAATTATATTACAAATTTTGCAATTATAAGCAATAATAATTAATATTAAATAGTTGTAGAATTTATCACTCGGTAATAGATACTAATAATTATTAATAATTAATTATGTGCTTGATAATTGAATTTTTTAAATTTTGATTATGAAAATATTTGAAAATAAAAAAAATAATAATAATAATATTCCATTAATAGAGATAATTTTATATACATTAAATTATCCAATTTATAATTTAAAAAAAATTTAATTAAAGTGTATTTAATTTAGGTGACTAATTTTCCCAAAAAAAAAACTACTTTATATTAAAGATAAATAATTACTATTTTTAACTTTTTCTCATTAAAAAAATATTAAAAATTTTCACTCAATAATTTGATGTCTATATTTATTTTTAAAAAAATACTCAAATAGCACTAATTTACAACTAGAATTTAACAGATTCACCTTGAATTTTGAAATCAATTTATTAAAGAAAATTTAATTAACAAATTATTAATTGAATTCACTAAACAATGTTTGAATTACTTACTATTTTACTTGTAATTACACAACTATCAATTAAACAATAGATAATTATTTCCTATTTAGTTATTATTACCATACTATTATTACTACATTATTCTTCCACGAACGTGAAATTTCAAGCGAATTTAATTCAAGAGAAATTCATCAAAAAGAAAAAAAGGAATTATAAAATAATTGATGAAAATAGAATAATTGTTTCTAGTATTAATGTCTTCATAAAGCACAATCATAATAGATTTAATCTTTATCTGTGCCTGTAAACAAACAGCTATAAGATAAAAGCTCAATAAATGTCATAAAATAAAACTATATAGAAAAGTAAAAAACTATAAAAAAAATATTTTAAAAAGACTAAAAGGAAATTATTTCCCATTTAGTAAATCGCTCAAAATTTTTTTTCTGAAAAATTGTTGAAAGTCTAAAATAGATAACCACTTTTGTGATCTAATTGTGCAATTCGTAATAGTTTTTATAATTCACCATCAAATTTGTCTACTTTTCTTCTTTTAAAATTGAATTTAAAAAAAACCTCTTAATTGATTTTTCGATACCTACTGAATTTATCAAAAGTAACTGGGTGGAGTCAAGATCTTTAATACACTAGAGGAACAAGTGAAAAATTTTGACTATTGATCATTTTTACAAAGATTAAATTTTCTCAACACAAGTGGAGGGGACACAAGGGAAAAAGGAAATTACTGCTTAATATTAAGAGACACTCACCGCAAATGAACTACTAATTCACGATTTACAGCATATCTTTAGAGATTCCCGTTCGAACATTGATGGCCGAAGCAAAAGTATATTATCACTACGCATGTAACATTCGGGATCACACGGAAATATTACGTATACAGTTTAACGTTGAAATTGGCTGTCACGATCAAAGTTAGAAAACAACAATTCTCGCGTTTGCCTCAGATCTCTTTCTCTCTCTCTCTCTTTCTCAGTCTACAATGGACGAAAGTCTATTCAACCCTTTCGTTTGCCGTTCTTTATTATCATCATTTAAAGTATATAAGACAAATATGTATACACTTTTTTAAAACTTTTATTCTTCACTTTTCAACTTTTTACACTATATTTTTACCACTGTATTTTTATCACTTTTCTTTTTGTTTATTTCATTAATTTATAAGTCACAGAACCCATTTTTTTGCTCATGTGTTAAATAAAACATTAGTAACGCAACACTGTGATGAAAACTGGATATACACTTCCCTCAAGGGTGTATTTATAAATTATCGGGGCCTTTAACTGCAATTGTTAAAAGGACTCGAATTGGGAATAATTACAATATATATTTGATTGTTGTATATGAAAAAAGAATTTATTGTCACGTAACACATAATTGTTGCACTAAAAAGCAATATATAAATCAAATTTCATAATGCAAAAAGGGAGCAGACGAAAAAAATTGTTGCTACTTTAGGGTTTTATCACAAGTGATCAGGATGGGGTAGTTGCGGCTTGCGTAAAAATTGTCCAGAACGGAAAATCCACATTGGAGTAAGAGAGACAGAAACAGCCTGTCTCTCTTACTCCAATGTGGAATTGTGGATTTTCCGTTCTGGACAATTTTTACCGAGGCAAATGACAGGGATGGGTGGTTAAGTGTTCCTAAAGTGACATTCGCAGTGAGCAATTTGCGCGAGTTCACACGATTGCAACAACGACTCCCGCAGCGACAGGAGAGCGGACTTTAATGTTTTTAGCCAATTAGATTGGCCTATCGCCCATCCATACTTTTTTTCGCTTGTCTCACACGGACATAATTACATTGTATTGGTGCATATACATACACTAGGCTCGTGAGCAATATAGCAGCAGCCATCTTATATTTTGTGTTGAAGAAAAACATTTATTTAAACAAATGTCTCGCGTTATTCCGTGAGTAGAAACGGCGAGGAGGAGTGCGCTCGATGAGGCGTAGCTTTTTTATCATTAAACCCGGACCACTACATTAGCAAAGGTTAGTAAAAAAGTCGTTTTTATCCCCTTGGCTTTTCCATTAGTGCGACGTCTCCCAGCAAGAGTCGCGCATCGCAAACTCAATTTAGCGTCGATTTAATTTTTCCAAAAATATCCCATCCGTTAATTGTAAATGAAAATGAATCCCACAAGTGTATCTAATTAGTGGGGGTGTTTATTTTTTCGTGAAAATGTCGTCGCATTCGTTCAATGTTCTCGGCTCGAGTAAAAACGAGCGTAAAAGTTATGCAATCAGCTGTTCGACTCGCTCGCTCGCTCATTCACTTTCCACCCCGCACACCTTCTTGGCTCGCTTATCTGTCACTTGTCAAAAATAAAAATAAAATCCAACTAATATGTTAACGACTCTTAATAACTCTTTTGTGGATAGACGCCTGATCCAAACTCTCGTTCATTATGCAGGTGGATTGGTACGCAGGATATGAGCAGTTTGTCAAGCGCAACCTGACTCTGCTCCCAGAACAGCAAGCAGCGAGCCAGCATCTTCAGCCACTGCAGCAGCTGGTTCATCCCCATCATCACTCGGACATTATGACATCAATGTTCGACCAACAGATAAAAAGTGAACCTATGGGATTTTACTCAGTAGCTTCAAGTCGGTCTGACGGTTCTAATTCTATGGTAAATCTCTCTGACGATCGCGAGGATCTTTCTCAGCAGGAGGGACATCTTCAGCAGCAGGAATCACATTTGCAACAGGAGAGTCATCATCAGCAATCCGAGGGACATTTGCAGCGACAGGACGGTCACTTGCAAAATATGCAACCACATCAGCAACATCACGACCATCATGATCATCACGATCATCATGAGCAGCCACAGGGAGCAAGTGACTCGCCAGGTCGTCAGTCAACTGGTCAGCAAACTGTCAAGGAGGGAACGAGATCCAAGCCGCAGCCTTGTAAAGTTTGCGGTAAAGTTCTCTCTTCCGCCAGTTCATACTACGTTCACATGAAACTGCACTCGGGCAATAAGCCGTACCATTGTACGGTTTGCGAAGCCAGCTTCTGCAGGAAGCCGTACCTCGAGGTTCACATGAGAACCCACACTGGCGAGAGACCGTTCCAATGTGAATTGTGTCTTAAACGTTTCACTCAGAAGAGCAGTTTGAATACTCACAAGCGTGTACACACTGGTGAACGTCCCTATGCTTGTGATATTTGTCAGAAAAGATTTGCTGTTAAAAGTTACGTTACGGCACATCGTTGGAGTCACGTTGCTGAGAAGCCTCTCGTTTGTGAAAGGTATTTTTTTCACATTTTTCCAAAAATTATCATCTCCCCTTCATTGTCAAAAATTTTTAATTTTTTAATCCTTTCTTAAATTTTACATTAAAATTATTTGCACAGCAAATCAAACATTCAATCATTTTCTATAAATAATCATTAGTGTCAATAAACATTTTTGAAATTTGAAAATTTTTATTTACAAGTTTTGAACGTTCAAATAAGTTAAATATTTTCATAAATTACTAATTTAAATAAAAATTAATAAGACTATTAAACTGTTTAATATTTAACTATTTACTATTTATTTGTTTACTATTCTACTATTTTATAAATAGAAACTAATATTTACATTTAGAAACTTTGTATTTAATTTTTTTCCCATTTACGCAAAATTAATTGCAATAAAAATTTAATTTCAAGAAGAAATAAATTTATTTCTTTCCTCTGAACGTTCAGAATTTTAAGATAATTAATTTCTGATTAGAATTTCTTTCTTTTCAATAGAAAATTAGGTATTTGTTAATATTTTACTTAAAAAAGAATTTGTTATAATTTTACTTGAACGAGAATTTGTTAATCTTTCTAAGTTCTGGACTTTAAACAATTTCACTGCTATTTAAAAAGTAAACAATTGTTAATTAACAATATAGTTTACAATATAATAAAAATAAAAAAAAAAATAAGAATAATGATAATAAGAAGAATAGTGATAATAATAAGACTAAGAAAAATAAAAATAATGATAATAATAAGAAAAATATTGATAATAATAATAATAGTAATAATAAGAATAATAATAATTTATAATAATAATTTCAGGCTTTGCACTCATCTACTAAAACCTACTATTTACTAACGATTTTAATAAAATTCTTCTTAGAAACAATTCAAAATTTTTGTTATAAAATTCTTTTAAAACAATTTAATTATTTTCAAAAATTTTTGGAAAATTTTTCGCAAGATTCTTCGCTGAAATCCAAGTATTCACTAAATGTCTAAATCTACTATTTTAATAAAAATTCTCAAAAGAATGCAATTATTTTAAAAAATATTTAATAAAATTCTTCGCGAAAATTCAATTATCTAAAATATTTCAATAAAATAGTTTAAGATAAATTACTTATTTTTAAAATTTTTGATAACATTTTTGTTTATAAGAATTAAATTATTTTCATAAATAATAGAATTTATCGCAAGAATTCAATTATTTGTAATACAATTTTAATTAAATTATCCGAAATAATTGAATTATTCTTTTAAATTTTCATAAAATTCTTCAAAAAAATTCAATTATCTAAAATATTTCAATAAAATTGTTTAAAATAAACTAATTATTTTTTTAAATTTTGATAAAATTTGAATATATTTAAAGTCTTATAAAAATTAAAAATATTTATTTAAATTTCCAATTATGTATTTGGAAATTTCGCCAAAATTAAATTAAATAAATTTTATTATTTAAAGTTATTTTAAAGAATTTTATTATTTTACTTTCAAAAATTATTTTTTAATATATAATCATATTTTTTAAGAAATTTAAATTAAAATTTAGAAAATAATTAGATTTTTTAAAAATTTAGAAATTTTTTATACTTTTTTAAAATTAATTATTGAGTGCAAAGTATGTAATTTATTTATAATAATAATAATAATAATAATAATAATTCTCTCTAATGTGAAAGATAATAATAGAAAAAAATTTCTTTTACAGAAAAGCTCGAAGAAAATTTCCGAAAAAAAAATAATTTGGTTGAAACCAAGAATAATTTTATCATTAGTTAATGTAAACACAGAGCATAAAAAAATGTAAACAAATTTACTATTTTAATCTCTATATCAATTTTCGTGAATTTTTATATAATTTAATTGCAAGCATCAAAATAATAAGCGTATAATTAATTATAATAATACTTTTAGTGTTATAGTCAGTTTAAGTAAATATTTCTCAAAAAAAAAAATTGCAGTTTTATTATTCATTTCATGTAAATTGAAAATAAAATTGGGAATTTTACATTTTTTTTATTTTTACAATACCTTTTTTCTATTTTCTATATATTTATTGAAAAAAACAATTTGAGACAATCTGAAAATTTTATATTTTTTTTATGAATAGAAATATTAGTGATGACAATCCAACAAGTATATTGTTTATAAAAAAAATAATTTTCATTAAAATTTAAAGGAATTAAATATTTTTTTTTGTTTCGTAAAATTTATCGTAGCGTGAAGGTCGCATTAATGCATGAATAATTATTTCATTTTGTAATATAATAAAATTCAAGTTTTTCCATTTATTTTACTTTTATTGAGATAATTTAAATAAATTTTGAAAATCTTGTCAAAATTAATATTCGCAAACAAAAGAAAAATTGAACATTTTTTTTTATTTTCATTATAATTAATTAAAAAAATAACTAAGTTTCTTCTATTGTTCATCTTATTTTTAAATTTAAGTAATTAACGTTAAAGGGACAATAATAATATAAAAAATAACAATATACGAAAACAATAAAATTATTGTTGGTGAAAACAAATTTTGCTTTTACAAGAAAAAAAATTGGTTCTAAAAAGAAACAAATTTTTTTAAATTCGGCAGATTTTTCGTGCATGAAGTAAGGAAATAATCAAAATTATTTTTGATTTTAAGATAATAATCCATTATGAAACTTAATTATGTACCAATTTTATCAGCAATGAGAAAGAAAAAGAGAGTAAAGACTAATTTATCTCTTAATCATAAATGATCAAGATAAACGATTATGTCTTTCCCAAAAGAAAAAATATTCCTTTGAGTAATATGCACATGGAAAAATGTGTATTAATTACAATATGAGTATTTTCAAATTTACTTAAAATAAATAAATAAGTTTAGTTACTTGAGAAAATTATTATTTTTATTCTAAACTTCTGTTTTAAAATGTAATATTTTTACTTACAAAATTTTTTCTAATCGGAAAAAAGAATATTATTAATATAATAATAACTATTATTATTACTATTATTCTATTATTAATATTATTATTTTGCAATTTACAAAGTTTTTTATTTTTAAAAAACAACTTCAATTTTTGAATAATTTCAATTATTTTTATAAAAAATAAAATTCTTTACGAAGAATTTAATTATTTTCATAGATAATAAAAATTCTTTACGAAAAATTCAATTTTTTTCATAAATAATACAAAAATCTTCAAAAAGAATTCAATTATTTTTATAAATAATAAAAATCCTTTAAAAAGAATTCAATTATTTTCATGAATAAAAAAATTCTTCTCAGAAATTTATTTTTTTAAATGAAAAGTAAAAATCTTCTCTAGAATTCAATTATGTCAACAATTAAAAAAAATAATTCCAAATGTTTCAATTGCTTTCGAAAATTTTAATAAAATATTTGCAAAAAAATGAATTATTTTCTGAAATAGAAAAATTTTTTCAAATAAATTCAATTATCTTTTAAAATAAAAAAATTCTTTCGTAAGAATTTAATTATTTTCTAAAAGAAAATAATTTTTTCAAAAGAAATCAATTATTTTCATAAATAATAAAATTCTTCGTAGGAATTTTATTATTTTCATAAGTAATTGAATTCTTGACAGGAATTCAAATATTTTCAAAAATTTTAATAAAATTCCTCGAAAGGGAGCGTTTACAAATGATGTCACGTTTTTGGGGGTAGGGGGGGGGGTCTCTACTAAACGTGACACAATGTATTTTTCATATGTGAAATTGCATGAAATTGCGTTCCCAGGAATTTAATTATTTTTAATACAATTTTAACTAAATTCCTAAAAATATTTTTTTTATTCTGACAAATTGTAATAAAATTCTTCAAAACAATTAAATTATTTTCAAATATTATCATAAAACTCTTCCAAAGAATTCAATTATTTTTCTAAATAATAGCATTCGTTGCAAGAATTCGATTATTTTAAATAAATTTTTGGAAAAAATTTATTTATTTTCAAAAATTAAAAAAAAAATTTCGAAACAATTCAATTGAGGGGCTGGATGCTATAATGTGTTACGCGCTATTCATTTAACATGGCGCGTAACACATTATAGCATCCAGCCCCTCAATTATTGTCAGTAACAGTGAAATTCTTTGCAGAAATTCAATTATTTTTCATAGAGTTTTCATAAAGAATTCAATTATTTTTAAGGAAATTCAAATAAAATTTCTTGAAAGAATTCCATTATTTTTAGAAATTTGAATAAAATGTTTCGAAAGAATGCAATTAATTTCAAAAAATTGTTTACAAGAATAATTTGAAAAATTCGAAAGTGTTTTAATTCTTTTAAACAAATTTTTACCTTATTTGAATTAAGAAATTTTTATTTTTACATTTTTCGAAAACTTGTAATAAAATAATGTTACTTAAAAAGATTAATTAATAAATATTGATTAGATATTCGAATAAATTTTAAATTTCATTCGAGATATTTTACAATAAAGCTATTGAAAAATATTAAAATTTTTATTATCTATTTAATAGTGCAGTATTTATTTTTTTATACTTTTTTTTGCATATAAAAGTTGATAATGAACATAATTTCTGATATCTCTAATTTATCCCGCAGGTGTTCTCTGACCTTCACGTCAAAGAGTCAATTTGCGATTCACATTCGCACCCACACGGCAAACACCACATTCGAGTGCAACATTTGCGGTCGCACATTTGTCCGAGACAGCTATCTGATAAGACATCAGAATCGAGTGCATCGCGAGATGAATCAAGCAAATGCCAATCACAATCCACCGACACCACAGAGTAGCGGCGGAGCAAGTGGCACTGGTTTCGAGAGTCCCGTTTGTGAATTACGCTACAACGAGGGCCAATCATCATTGGAGTCATTGAGCGCGAGTAAAGGCGGTGGAATCGCTGCCGAAATTGCGAGTTTAGCCAAGCAGAACAGTCTACAACTTCCTCTTCCACTGCTGCATCCGCAGACCACCAACTAGTGTTTGGACGGCAGCGCGACACAGTCTCTGCCGTTACAACAGTCACCGCAGCAAGTAATATGTCCCACCACCACAATGGCCTCAACGCCATTTACACTCAATTCATCATCATCATCCCTATCACACGAGCACCTAACATCACAGAGTGTCTACCAAACGACGGGATCATCATCCGGTCCCATGAACAGTTCCAATTCCCAAATCTATTCACATTTAACGCCTCCAACTCTCGATCCCGCGGACTCGCATCAATTGCACCGCGGCATCCCTCCGCCAGGGCTACACCCTGCATTATATCTTTACGCCCAGTACACGAATACCGGTCCCACTATTTCCTATCCCGAATACATTCAACGCAATAACTGAAAACAAATTCATTGCTAGCATTCACGATTCAGCTTGTGATTCGAAATTCCCCCAATTCTTTCTTCTTTTACTTTTCTCATCTATTTTCGGTATTATTCACTTCAAAAACAATTTATTTTTCAAGTCTTTTTTTTGGTCAAAACTTTCAAGATTCGATCAAATCAACGAAATTTGTTTCACTCTCTATAAACTTTGAACGCTCAAATAAATTAAATTTATCATTTATTTTCTATAAATTTTGAACGTTCAAATTAACGAAATTTGTTTCATTCTCTTTAAATTTCGAACGCTTAAATGAACGAAATTTATGTTTAATTTTCTATAAATTTTGAACGAAATTTGTTTTATTTGCTGCAAATTTTTAACATTCAAGTGAAAGACATTTTTTTATTCCATTTGCTATAAATTTTAAGCGATCAAAATAAACGAAATTTCTTTCTCTCAGCTTCCTAAAAATTTTAACGTTCAACTGAATGAAATATTTTCCCACTACAAATATTTTCAAAAATTACGGACTGGAGTTAAAATTAACGAAATATTTCGTTCATTTGAACGTTCCAAATGGAAAAAAGATTCGTTTTGAAATTATATGTTCGACTTTGATTGCAGTCAGTGATTTTTGGAAACAATTAAAAAAAATATTTCGTTCATTTAAATATTCCAATTTTTTTGGGCATAAGATTCGAGTTTAAAATTACTTTTTCGATTTTTATTGCAGGCGCTAACTTTTGAAAACAATTAAAATATTTCGTTCATTCGAACGATCCAAATGAAAAAAAAAATTATTGTTTGACTTTGATTACAGTCAGAAATTTTTGAAAATAATTAAAATATTTCGTTCATTTGAACCTTCCAAAGTTTAAAGTTTAACAATCGTAATTTAATCTATTAATTCAACAAATTTGTAAATGGAGAAAGAGAGGCAGAAACAGAATAATTGCATAATTTTGAAAAAGAATTTTGAAAAAAAGTTACAGAAACTAATTTATACGAAATAAAATTTCAATTTTCATTTGAATCGAAATTCGAATTACTTTCAATTTCCATAAAATAATGATCGGAAAAATAAAAAAAACTAGAAAAGTTAAAGAATAAAAGAATTAAAATTGACTTTCGAATCATTAAAAAATGAATCAATGCCAGCAAGAGATAAATTCTCAGATGTCTCTACACGTTTCAATTGTGTCTGCACTTTTCTTTTGTATCTTTTTTAACTACGTCTGCGAGTATACATATATTATGCGAACATCACACATATTTATATTATATTTTTAAAGGAGTTTAGTCACTTGGATCTGTGATATAGATAGTAATTATTGTCTACAAAGTTTAAACAAACAAAAAAAATATTGGTTTTGCTGTTTCGATGCAACAAACTAAAAACGAAAAAGAGAAGAAAGTGGAAAGTAAAAGAAAGCAAATGTCATCGAGCGATATTAAAATCTTTGGCCTCTACCAAAGATGTTTGGTAGACACCCTAATAATATTAGTTTTAACGAGACAAAAATCGTTAAACTAAAAATTCTTTGATACTATTCGCCATCACTTAAATTTTCACTTTTCAAAAAAAAAAAACATCTCACGTTTATATTCCAATATCGATAACAGTACTAATCGCTTATTCTTTTTTTTTCTTTTCCAGTCCGAATCAGAATGGAATTTTCAATTAATCGGTTATAGTAATTATTAATTATCTCAATTATTATTAATTAATTACTTAACTAGTGGATTTAATTTTACTAATTACATAATTAGTAGTTTTGAGTTTTGCTAATTATATAATTGATAGATTCGATTTGTTTATTAATTACATAATTAGTGGAATAATTTAGAAACAATTTAGCACAATACTGAAATTTTAATTCGAATTATTAGAGAAAAAAATTCGATTTCTGATTCGCGACTAAGGAAATAACACTCATTGTGTATTGAGATCATCCTCATGGTTTCTCTTTGACTCGAAAAGCTTTCTTAACTTTATTTCTGCAGTGATTCTCTAATCATTTGTTTCTTCATAAAAAAGCGTTTATTTAAAATTTATATTTTTCAAAATCGTTTCATTCAAAGAACTATTTTTTCTGTTAATTTCTTAACGTTTCTCAATTACTTCTCAAGAGGAATTTAAAAAAATTATTTAGTTAAAATTTTGAAAAAAATCTACCAAATTGTTAGAAAATAAATTTAATTGGTTGAAAATGAATTTATTTATTCAAAGGAAATAAGTACAGAAAATAATTTCTTTTTAAGAACAAATTTCTGTTTGGAAGAAAATTATAAATTGTAAAGAAAAACCGTTTATTCGTTGCTTAATATTTTCAGAGGAAACTTGAATATTCGCGTGAAAAAGTAGATCTCAAATTGACAATAATTTTTCAAATTTCGACACTAAACGAATTTAATTGATTTCAAAATGAAAATGTTTCTTCTGGAAACTTAAGAAAAGAAAATGGTTTTCTTTTTCGAACTTCAACAAATTTTTATTTTCTGAAAAAAATGTTTTTTCTTTCCTTTAAATTTTTTAGTCAATTTTTTTTAAAAACTTTTTTTTAAAGGAAACTATTTTCTATTCTTTCATCAATGTTTAGAGATTCACACTAGATTAGTTTTTCTTGGAGCGAGAGACAATATCGATTCTAATGATAAAAAAAAGAAAAAAAGAAGAAACAAAACAAATTTCCAACTGTAGATTAAAAAAAAACAAACAAAATCTAGAGATTTGAAGCCATTAGTTCCATAGGTGTACTTATGTTTGACATATCGAAGTATACTTTATACGACGTTGTAAATACAGATTACGAATCCAGAAAAAACTTAGATAATGTTTTGATGATAAAACAAAAATCATACTTTCATCTACGGTCCAAGAACATTATTTAGAAGGTAGCAAAAAAAAAAAAATAGTCCAACTGTTTACGCAAAAAAACACTATTAAGCTACTAATTTCAAAAAAATAATTGCTAACAAATACAAGGGGGGAAGGGGGGAACATAATAGCGCATTTTTGCAAAAACTGTTCCCAAATACGAAATTTGAGCCCTCGATTTACAATTTAAAAAAAAACAAGTGCGCGTCACAAAAAAAACGGGGCTGACTCATTAAATATTTATTTCTATTCTGCAAGAAAAAAAAGAATTATTTGTCTCACAAGTGACTCGAATAACGGCAGAAAAAAAAGTCAAATCGTACTTTTGAAAATTCAGCGATACTTGAAATAATTTTTGAATTCGTTTCTTTTTTTTCTCTTAGATTCGTCTTCGCTATTTTTTTTGTTTTTTATTATTTTTTTTCCTCACTTATTGCGCACTTATGCCTGGGGCTTTCAATTCCACGAGAAGTCACCCCCAAAGGGAAGACTGATTATCGTTATGGAATTTTAGATAATATTTTTTTGTTTTACTTCTAATTTTTTTTCTTAAAGAAAAAAATTGGAGATTTTGTGTATGTGTGCTTTTTTTAAAAAAAGAAGTCTTTCGTGGAATGCTCTAAATAGGGTGCGGATCGAGTACTTTTTTTAGATTTAATTCTTTATCGTCTTCCATAAAAAAAAGTTTATAAAGAAGAATTTTTTTCAATTTTCTTTTTATGAGAAAAAAATTGTTAGTTAAGAAATTTGCTTATTACAGTTTTTATTGTAAAAAAAAAATTACCAAAGAAGAATTGTTTAAAAACTTTATTATTAAAAGTATAAGAAAAATTATTAATAATTATCGTAATAAATTATTGTAATGAATTAATTTTATTCGTAACTAATTTCTCAAAAAAAGGAAATTTAACTGAAAAATTAAAAATTGATAATAATTTTGTATTGCAAAAAATGTTATTTTGTAACTTTTTGCAGTCAAGAATTTTGTAAACGTAGTTAAAAATAAGTATTTATTTCAAATTGACGTCAATAATAGAAATTTTTTACTAAAAAAAATTTAATTTTGTAATTAAAATTGAAAATGAGTATTTCAGTAAAATTAACGAAATTCTTTAACTGTAAAAAATGTAAATTTGTAATTGCGTTTAAAAATGATTATTAAAATTAAAATTAACAAAAATTTTTGACAGCAAAAAATTTAATTTTTCAATTGCAGTTAAAAATGAGTATTTAATTAAAATTAACAAAAAATTTTGACTCAAAATTTAATTTTGTAATTTCAATTAAAAAATAGAAATTTTTAACTGCAACAAAATTAATTTTGTAGTTAATTATTTTACTCTTCTTTAATAAAAACGAGTGTTTAATAAAAATTAACTTTAAAAATACAAAATTTTTAACTGCGAAAAATTTAATTTTTTGAAATGCAATTAAAAATAAGTATTTAAAATTGACGTCGATAATAGAAATGTTTAACTGCAAAAAAATTTAATTTTGTAATTGCAATTAAAAATGAGTGTTTCATTAAAATTAACGAAAATTTTTGAATGCAGCAAATTTAATTTTATAATTGCAATTAAAAATGAGTGTTTAATTAAAATTAGCAAAAATTGTTGACAGTAAAAAATTTAATTTTGTAATTGTAATGAAAAATTCAGTAATAGAAATTTTTAACTGCGACAAATTTAATTTTTCGGTGAATTATTTTTCTCATTTCATAAAGATGAGTATTAAGTTTTTATTATTTTATTAACTAAAACATTTAATTAAAATTACCGTTAAAAATACAAATTTTTAACCGCGAAATATTTAATTTTCTAACTCCTTGTAAAATTGAGTATTTAATTAAAATTGGTAAAAAAAATTGAATTACAATTCTAAATTGTATTTAAGAGAATTTAATTTATTTTTTAAAAATTATACTTACAATTATAAATTGTAATGAAAAGAAATTATAAATTATAATTAAAAAAAATTATTATAATTAAAATGCTTTAAGCTAAAAATAAGTTCGAAAAAAGTATTCCGACCACCCTGATTGATAAACTGTTAAGAAAAAAAATAATGATCTTTATATTGGCTAGTCATTGTGCAGCTATAAGAAGATATTGTACTACTGAGCTGTGATTAAAGCCACCGAGCATAAGTTCGCGCAAAAGTGAATTTTTTTTCTCTTTAAATAGAAATTTAGTGGTATGATAAATAGATAGACTAGAATTACCGAATTTATTCGTTTATAAAACGAATATATAGGCAATTTTTTTTCCGAATTTCATTTAAAAAAAAAATTCTTTTTTTTTTGAAATGATCTTTAAACTTCCGATTTTTGCTCCTTCGAATTCCAGTATTTTCAACGCTTTGTTTTCTTTCTTCTAAAATAAATCGCTCTCAAGGGAACTTTCTTTTTTCGACAAGTAGATCAAAATATAATATTTTTTCATAGAGAGAAAAAGAGAGAGAAAGAGAGAGAGAGAGAGAAAGCCAAAAAAAAATTTTATAGAGCGTACTGGACAAAAAAATAATAAATAAAGTTAAAAAAAACGAACCGCCTTGGGTTTTGTATAAAAAATCTTTCGGCTGGTTGAGATTAGTTTTTTCGTGCACAATAAGTGTACTTGTGTATATGTCTTTCTTTTTCGCCGTTAAAAAAAAAGCTTTTCGTTGAGTAGTTATTAATTTACTGTAATAATTTATTTTCCTGGTTGATTTGTGTGTGTTGAGATCGTCATTTGATGACTGTCGAGACTTTTTTTAAACACTTGTTTCTATCATCTCGTCGATTTTTGAATTTAGACGTAAAGAAATTTTTCTGTTTGATGAAAAACAAAAAATTACTTTGAAAAGAAAATAATTGTCATCGGTTACAATAAGAGACGCGCAAGAAAAGTGACGATCGAAACGAGAGAAAAAAAAACTTTTCAGCCTTGAAATAAGCCAAGCTTGTAAATAATCTAAATAATAATTCATAATGGAAAACTAATTGAGTAAAGGGTCTACGTAGGATTAAAAAATACACTTAGCCATTGGTCGAGATAATATTATTATGTAAACGCCCGATGTAAAATAGTTTAAGGCACTAAGTAATACCAAGGCGCAACAGCTATTTTCTAATCGAAAAATAAATTACAAAAAAAAGATTAAAAAAACGTAAGTTTATAGTGCGATAGAAAATTAGAGAGACAAGTAAAAAATACTGATTAGCAGTAATACCTCATCAACATCTGCAACAAGAAATTTAAAAAAAAATCATATTTGATACAACATGACACTCAGATGCAAAAGAAAAAAAATAACTCGGTAAATATCGTCCATCGCGTCGTATTTTGCCTTTCGTTCAGTTTCCAATCGCTAGTCTTATCCCCATTCAAAACAAATGTGATAGAGACAGTTCTGGTTTCAAATCTAGAACAAATTCTTTTTTTTTTCTTCTCTCTTCAAAAAATCCAAATTTTAACAAGTTTAATTTTTAAGTTAGATCTCAAACAGTCTAGAAATATTATAGTTAATTAGAAACAAAAAAAAATTAATACAAATGTTGTGAACATTTGTGCAGTGATAGTAACACTTATCTTTTTAAATTAACTAATATTTATTTTAATTTTCGAATTTTATTTAATAAAATAATATTAAGTTTTTAAATTTCGTCGTTTGTATATCTATATAATATGTGTGTGTAAAATCAAAACAAAAAAAGAAACGAGAAAAAATTTTTCGACTCTTAAAAATTTATATTTATGTGAAATTTTTATTTATCTGACAAAAATAATGTAGAATATTCTGTGATACAAGAAAGAGAAAACAACATTTTGGTCTCTTAACTAAAGATTGTTAATTTAAGTGTAAAGGAAAAATTAATAAAAATTAATAATAAACAAAATAATCTAATGAAAACTAATACGAAAAATAATTTACATAATTTACAAAAATAATTAATAAAAACTAATTGATAAAATAATAAAATTAATTAATATTAAATTAATACTTATTGATATTAATTAATATTAATATTAATATTTATTAAGAAATAATGAATAATTAATAAAATAAAAAAATTATTGATAAAAAATTAATACCAAACGTTTTTGGTTTTCAAAACGAAAAAAATTTTGTTTTGTTAATTTTAAGTGGAAAGAAAATTAAATAAAGATGAAAAAAATGAAAAAGAAGTTTTTTTTTAATGTAAGTAGTGCCATTTTTATTCGAAACCAGTTCTGAACTCATGTTTTAAACGGGGATTTTCTCTTCCACATTCGATTTATAAAATAATGAGTGATCAAAGAAAATCAACACTGAACGGTAAAACATCGAAGCACAAAGTAATGTTTTATCCTTCTTTATATATAAATAAATATATATAAAATAATAAATATGTAGCTTATACGAGTGCAAATAAAATAAAATTACAAAAAAAATAAATTAAAGTAATAATACTGGAAAAAAGAAAAAACAGGGCGCGAAAAGAAAATGCTTTTTTTCGAGCTGTGTGCTACTTATTCGTTAATGAGTTATATCTGTGATGAGTGTGATCAGATTTGTCATCGACGAAAAATTACAGCACTGATTTCATTATTGTGAATAAATATTATTTATGAATATTTTTTGTTACAATTTTTCATTCAAAATGCAAAAATTCGATTTAAAATTTTTTTTTAAAACAATTGATGAAAAAAAATTGTCTGAATTTTATCGAAAAAGGAAAAATAAATAACAAAATAAAAATCGAAAATTGATTTTCGTTTTCCAATTTTTCAAATTAATACAATGATTACTAATTAAATATTAATATTAATTTAAGGAATTTAATTTAAATTAATATTAATAAATAATAATTGAAAATTAATCAAATTTCTTTATTTTTTCTTTATTTAAGAAATAAAAATAAATAAATTGGATAAAAAATTTCTTTTTCGAAATTATTTTCGTATATTTTGGTAAAAGATTATTGATATAAGAATAAAATTTTTCCACTTGAATGAAAAATCGAACGAAAAGAAAGATATTCGTGCGAATCATCAGCTTTGGAAATTTTTTAACGTCATAAACTATTGAGTTGTATTTTTTTATATTTCTGACGTTGAATACTCAAGATCGACTCTCGATTTTCTTTGAAGAAATTAAAAAATCTTTGGAAAATCGGGGACACTATTTTTTTACTGAAGAAAAAAAAAAGTTGTGATAGTTTGTTATTTTTAGTGAGATGAAAATTATTATAGTGTCTGTATCTCATTTTTGATACAGTTTTATCAATTTAATTAATGGATTATTT